CGTCTACGTTGAATATATGTTGTACCTGGTTATCAAATAGTTTTTTATTATAATTGTGTGAATTATTGGTATTTTCATGTGCTAATTTTATATCCTTAATCCAACCTTTTTTCATTTGTTTTCTTAATTCTTCTGATGCGGAAGTTATTATTGTAGCATCTTGATGTTCATATTTTCCAATGGGTTATGGTTTGAATACACTATAAATTTTTTCCGGATGAGCCAGTGGTGCCAGTATTTTACAGCTTCTTTTATTGCCAAGTACTCCAAATATATTGCTTTTTTCCTTGTTTGTATTTCATTTCATTTCTTTGAGAAATATGCTACTGGCATATCTTCTTTTTGCTTGTATTGCGTCCGTAAATATTTTAATTGGTAAGTTACTTACAAGGATTAAACTAGAAAATCAGTTTAGTTAACCTAGACTACATCATCATACTAGGAAGAACTTTCGACGACCACCTCCGAAACATGACTGAAGTCTGCATGAAATTGTCAGCCGCAAGATTGAAGTATTAAGATAAGCATCCTGTTTAAAAGTTTATGAACTTTCTAGGATAATTGTCGATGCCAATTGGAGGCTACTGGATTGTATTATGAGGGTTTGAAGAAATAACTTGACCACCTTCGTTTTTTTGCGTTTAATAACTTTTATTATAAGTAGAAACACAACACAAATTACAAATAAAAAGAATAACTTTAAATAAGGACTAGAATTAGCGAATTCCACTGCTATTTTAGGGTAACAAGAGCATGCGTGCGTTATCACTGGTCTAATGACGCAGTTTATACGGAAAGGGATCAATCTACCTTACTCATTACCTTCCCATCGTTAGAGGGCGCAGAATACATTAATTCTTTGAAATTGAAGTTGAAGTAACAGCTTCAATTATTTCTGCCTGTGAGATACTTTAGTTGCTGGCCATGTAAACACACCTTCGGCCGTTTTTAGTTTAAGTACCCTTACCTTTTGGTCTGAGCCAGGGTAAAAATGTAATATTCTGGCTCAAGACCAATTAAGTAGTGCTGTATTGTCTTCCTTCAGAATAACGATATCCCCAACATTTAAAATTTCTGCAGATTTGAGCCATTTTGGGTGGTTTAAATATTCAACACTCCAGCGTTTCCAAAAGGTTTGCTGAAGCTTTGATCGTTGCCAAAATGATAAACGATTTTCGTTTATATTGTAGCGAGCACGAGTGTGTTTGTGTGCGATCGGGTATACGTGTGCGTGGACGGCTTATCGAATCGCCGACTAGCCGCGGGTGCCTTTCTTCATGTGCGCCGTATTTGTAAATGTGTGTGTCGTATCTGCGTTGTGGGAAAACAGTTAAACAGTTCAAAGAAAAACTAAACGATCCGGATATTTCTAGAGGGTTCCAGAAAGGAAACAAAAGATTATATAAAGGAATAGACGATCGCCGGGTAGAGTGCTGCCCCAGCTCCTAAACTGGTATCGGAAATGGAAACTTTCCATTAACGAGACCAAATAGGAGGCAATTTAATTTTCTCGTAGGCTCCGAAAACCTCCCTCCGTCATTGTCAACAACCGCCCCATTAATTGGAGCAGTTCCGTCACCTATCTAGGCGTCGTCTTAGACAGATGCCTAAACTGGCGGCTCCACATTAAAGCGACCCGTAACAAGGCTCTGGGTGCATTCATCGCACTTAAACCTTTCTGGGGCTGCGCCCTTCCCCATCGCCTGAAACCTTTGCAAGGTACATACATGCGGATTCTTCGCTCCGCACTTAACTACCCCTGGTTCATCAGAAACACTCAAATTCTGATTGAAACCGGTTTACCTTCTCTCCCCGAGGCTGCAATCACACTCGCGGCAAATCTCCGGGCCTCAGTCTCAGGCTACCCAAACTCCACCATCTCGGCACTCTCCAACTTCGCACCGAAACCCAACCACCGTTTCCGAAGGCCCTATCACCTTCTACAATGAGCCGCCCTTTTCCGCTCACTTCTATCCCCTAGCTTCGCTTTTTAGCGCGAGTGTCCATCCAGCACTTCAGAGATGGACCACCTACTTCGGTTTCCTCCCCAACACTCCCTTCTACCCACACTCAACCCATTTCCCATCTCAACCCTATCTCCAATCCCCAGCTTTCCACTTTCTTCCCGGAATGAGCAATCCACAGGGTTTATCTCCCCTTGAGGAGGGATTTTAGTCGGTAAGAATCCGACACTACCTCCCTTCAGGGGGGTCTTTTGAAGATTTCCCCTCCTCGAGTAAAAAAAAAACCGAGTAGAGTAGAAATAAACTGACCGTTGCAGAAGTGAATCCAGAAATAAATTGACAATTGATAGTGATAGTAGTGAAATAAATAGTGCAGTGAATAGTGATATATTAATAATTAACGTAAATAAATAGTTGTTGTCATTGTCAGTCTTAGTAGTTAATTTTGTTAAACCCACGAACATTACAATATCATAGAAATCTTTTTCAGTATAACCTGTTAAACTGCTACCTATTAAGAAGTGTCTTGAGGTAAGACAATTTGAATCTGATGGATCGTTCGACAAACCACAAAGAGGGCGCGAATCCAAAATCGCTTCAATTTAAGCGAGAACAGTACTCAATTATTCAAAAGTGAAATAGGCGTTTCCGACTATACGCCGTATGTGAACTTGACGCTTTTGATAGCGACTTCCCAAATTCCTCCCCAGTGGGGGCTTCGAGGTGGAATGAACTTGCACTGTATTTTATCATTTGCTAGTAAATTTTTAACTGTTCCTTGGGTTTGTTTAGATTTAAAAAATTCATGGAACTCCTTTAAGTGATTGTTAGCCCCAACGAACGAACTATAAATAATATAAATAATACAAGGATTACNGCTTTAATATTAATATTTACAGATAGCATTTTGCAATTTTCTATTTCCCATTTAAATGACGTAGGAATTGTTCCTTTTTAATTTTGTAATTTTATGACTTGACAGCCAATTACCGTACAAGAATGAACAAAGCATTTTTTGTAGAGAATTGCTCTGTAAAAAAGGTGTGATTGAAGATTTTCGTATGTTTAGCCGATATATCGATAGTTTTCGATATGTCGATATTTTCGATGATTATCGATATCGATATGTCGATACATATTCGTTGATAATGTAACTATTGCTATTTTTATCGATATATCGATAAGTATGAATTATTATCGACAAATCGATATTTTTGCCCAGCATTACTGTACAGTGCAGTCCTGCTGCAACCTGGGGGTGTAAAAAGGTACTCCAGTTAATGAGCTGTCAATGATAAAGAATCTTATCGACCTTTTTTATCGAAAGCTTCAATTAACGAAACACAAGTTCCTACTCGTGACGTTCGCAGGAGCTGGTATGAAGAGAAGCCAATTGCATGTAATGTCGATTACTAGTAGTCTGCTCTCCTTACTTATCATTCCATTGTCAAAGTTAGTACTATTATCATAAAATACAAAGAAGTTTATTTTACCCACAATATGCGGACATGGTGACCATATATGGACGGTGCAAGGAAACTGCGCTGACGACATCACACAGAAAATGTGGTATCGCACTCAAAGGTGAAAACTACGTATCGGTACTGACGAATAGAAAATAACCCCGGTTTTTTGTACCATTATCGAAATACGCCATACGCGTGATCGTGTTCGACACACCACACCTACCAGTATGTATTCTTCATTTAAAGTACATACAATGAAGATACTGTGGGGGGAGTTTAATTGTGTAATACGAGTCTGATTTGAAAAACAGCACAAATGCCAAGCGGCAAACTCTTTCCTTCCTTTTTTATATCTTTTGTGCCGTTCTCTAGGAACCGCAGGGACCAAGCTATTGTTGTTAAGTTATACCTGTGTTGCTTTTGCGAATTGTACCGTTACAGTCACCGTATAATATAACTGGTAGGATAATCCTTCTTTGCCTAGTTCTAATACGGAACGCCACAGTATGTAGAGACGCAGCGTTTTACAATTACGCTAGATAATCCTAGTCATCATTGCCAGAGCAATTGGGGCTTTCGATAAGGTCATTACCCTCATGATTTATGTATATCACTGGCTGGTGCGAGATGACTCATTCTATTTCTTTTTCATGTACCTTCTTTTCCCTTAATTTTCCGGGAATACTGATTAAACACTAACAATTGGATTCCTTAATTGTATTCTAAATTCAAGGTGGTGATCATGCATGTAATTCTTTTAATGCGAATTTAACATTATAGAAATACAAACAATGACCGAAAGAAACGTACCAAAAGCATTCGTGTTGAGCGGCAACAATATGTGCTGCGAGTTGGATAAAATTTAATTAGAGCAGTTTCAAGATGAGAAGTACCTGACACACGTGACCTGCGCGAAAGGCGAAAATACGTACGTAAAAATGGTCTTTGGCGTGTCGTTCATTTATCATTCTGTTGTACATGTGTATTGTTCACGGTCACATTGGCTTTTCTTTTGTTTCTCAAGTGTTTATATCAGTTAAGAATTCAGCTCGGTGTTCTTTAAAGGAAAGTAAGTTATTTTATTTATTTTTTCCAAATGAAAAAACTCGGTAAAACGGAGCAAGCAATTCATAACCAAGCAAGACTACCGTATTTCCAGGTGGATAAATAAATGAAATAAGTAATCCTTGTGGCGAAGGCGAAGGAAATACATGTCGCCAATAAAACTCGCTCTCAAAAGAGCAGTTTACGCATAGGCGGTCACGTGACAGGTTTTTCTCTCTCATTGAAACTGTTATTCGTTATCAGACTATAGTCGTAGATTCGTGTTTTTAACAAAAGACCTTGAAAAAAGGCTTTAAGCAAAAGTAAATTATAAATTTGTAGTTTTTTACGATATCTAGTATATGTTATGTTTCGCTAGAAATGCGACTAATTTTAAAAATGTAAAGGAAGGGAATCGTTTCTGTCTAAGTAACTTTAGGTAATCCAGTGTGTGCAACATAAATATTTTGTAGAAATTTTCAGGAATGATTTGTAATTATACTCTACTTAATTATTTTTTAATTAGGTACCGTTACTTAACACATTTACATCTGAACAAGACGGTGTGCCATCAAGTATTGACTTCATTAACGACGAAATTAATCGTATAGTTGCGGCCTACAATAGTTCTCATTGCATCATATTTGATACTGAAACTACAAAGCCAGTGCTTAGGTTAGAATCTGGACAAGATTCTGTTGGGAATATTAATAAGCAAATAAATAGAGTTGTATGTCATCCAACACTTCCCTTAACAATAACTGCACATGAAGATAGACATATTAGATTTTGGGACAACAATACTGGTAAAATGGTGCATTCCATGGTAGCACATCTTGATGCTGTGACGTGTTTAGCAGTTGACCCGAACGGACTCTATCTTTTATCAGGTACATTTTTAAGTTTGCATTAAATATTTTTTAGGAAATTTTCAAGGTTAATTTTCTTTTTCTGAAAGAAAATGAAATCTCAAAAGAGAAAACATGGAGGAATATATTGAGCTTCTGTTTCTGAAGGCTTACTTAAATTAAACTGACATAAAAATTAAACACATATTAGAGATATAAAAAGAGTTTTAGGCAAAATCTGATTATTACTAATTATTTTGTTATTGTTTATATAAATTTCAGTATATTCTCATGTATATATTTATTGCTAACTGCAAAATTTCATAGTATTTGATAGGGCCTTGAAATGGTATACTTGTCACACCGAATCTTTGACACAAACCATTTAAATAAAAGACGCCCCTAATCAATTGTGATTATCTCGATTTAACATTAGGGGAAAAAATGAAGCATAAAGATCATTAAGTTCTAACTTAACAAAAGTTGTAACTAATTTAAATCGAAACGGAATATATACTCACTAGGGTGTCCCTTAAATTTCAAGTTCGATATATTTTCACGCATACCTTCTCAAAGGTTTCGTACTGACCTCATATAGTCTAGAAAAAAATATAAGCCCGATTTATAAGCGATAACCCGTGCCGACTTGCGATTTTAACTTGCCAGTGCAAGTTACGCGGGTACAGCCCTGCAAGCTGTAACTACGTGTTTTATTGTCATTTCATACCTAAATTTTAAGGTTGATAGTTCGTGATTGTTTATTGCGTAAAGATGTCTGCAGAATTACGGAGTGATAAACAAAATATTTTCCTTATCGGACTGCCTACCCACCAAATAACTGGTGCAAAATTACCGTCTGCTCGACAAGTTCTTGCAGTCCTATTTTACAATATTCGTGAAGTCAAGCTGACCGTTAGTGAAAGTGCAAATCTTGTGATAAGAGAGTGCATTATATTTTGGGAAAAAGCAAGAATTCCCACTAAGGCATTTCCTAACTGTGTGAAGAAACTTGTTGATTTATATCATGTTTGGAGAGAGCTGCAAAAAAATTGTAAGAAAACTCAGGTCACGTTCAAGAACCGTGAAAATAATTTTAAAATAGACCTTGATAACTTATTCGATATTGCACATGCCGATGCCTTTGAGAAAATGAAAATAGAGGAAGACAAAGTATTTCTTAAGAAACAAAGAGAACCAGGTCGACCGGGGTGTTTAGGTGGTGTAGACAAAAAATTGGCGGAGAAAGAAGAAAGAGTTAGGCAAAGACGATTGAAAGAAGAGGAAAGGAAGGCAAAACAAATAGAGTTATTGACTGTTGCATCTACTTCTATTGTAGATAACTTGGAATGTTTAAAAGATTTGGACGAAGAACAGATTCCGAATTCGAACTCAGCATCCTGGACATTCCCAACCCTGAAAAAAGTTCAAAAAGAGGTAGAAAGAATCTCATTACTCCTAAACTTGTCGCAGCTTTAGATAGATGCCAGTTAAGCATACGAGACTCCGTTTACATTCTTCATGCGGTCGTAGAAGCGCTTGGTTTGAGCGTCGATGATTTCCCTATCAACAAATCCTCGATTCAACGAATTCGTACACAGACGAGAAAATCTAGGGCAAAAGCAATAAAAACGGACTTTCAGAACAACTTACCTGAAGTAGTCACAGTCCATTGGGATGGAAAACTATTACCTGGAATAAATCTACGAAGTTCTAAAGAAGAACGTTTGCCAATTATTGCTTCATTTGATGATAGAGAACAGCTTCTTGCAGTACCTAAACTAGAGAGTTCATCTGGAAAACATCAAGCTAAAGCCGTTTCTACTGCTCTATTTGACTGGAACCTTCATAATAAAGTACAAATAATGTGCTGCGATACAACAGCTTCGAATACTGGCCGTTTTAATGGAGCTTGCGCTGTTTTGGAACAGACTTTAGAAAGGGAACTATTACTTTTCGCTTGTCGTCATCATGTTTATGAGTTGGTCCTAAAAACAGTTTTTGAAACCAAGATAAAGCAAGTTACTAGTAGCCCAGATATTCCAATCTTCAAAAAGTTACGTGACAATTGGAAAAACATCGACTCCAGTGACATTAAAGTACCTCTGTCTATCGTAAAAAAACATGTTTCTGAGGCAAATATTACATCTTTGCTAATGTTTTATAAGTTAGAATTGGACAAAAATTTTGTTAGAGACGATTACCGGGAACTCGTTGAACTATGCGTTATGTTTTTTGGGTGGAGATACAGAGAAGAAATTAAAACTCAGGCCTCCCGGAGCTATGCATCAAGCACGATGGATGGCGAGAGCGATCTACTCTTTAAAAATATGTTTGCTTGAGTCCCAATTGAAAATGATTGCGAAGGATAAAAAGGATCTACAAGATGTTTGCTTATTTATCGTCACATTGTATGTTAAGCCGTGGCTCGAATGTACAGTGGCAACAAAAGCACCTAACCAAGATTTGTGCTTCTTGAAGGCATTAAATCACTACAAAAAAGTCGATGCAACTATTTCTAATGCTTCTATAAACAAGTTTAGCCATCACTTGTGGTATTTGTGTGAAGAGACAGTCATTCTATCAATTTTTGATGATGAAGTTGACGACCAAACTAAGATAAAAATGATTGCCAACTTCCACAGGGACAGAAGCTCCGATTTTGGCAAACGCTTTATCCCATCAAAAGAAGAACTATCCCAAAATTTGATTGGTAAGCTATATAATGCTTTTTGGCATTTCTTGTTTTTGTTTTTTTTTGTTATTTAACCTGTTTCTTTTTGTTTCAGATATGACGCTCGATGATTTTGTTTCGGTAAAAAGCAAACAATTTTTACCTCGACTACAGATCGATGACAGTTTTCTTCAGGAAGATGTATCTACTTGGAAGCAAAATTCTGCTTTTTTGGAAGCTAAAAGAAGAATAAGTCGTTTAAGGGTTGTAAATGATACTGCTGAGAGGGCTGTCAAATTAATGCAAGATTTTAACGGACATATCACGGCTGAAGAAGAGCAAAAACAATTCTTGTTACGCTGTGTCCAGGAACATAGAAATTTGTATCCGGACTGTAAAAAAACTACACTTAAGAATAAATACCCTTGCTGATTTTTATTATTTTATGTATTTAAATAATTATTAATATAAGCCTTATTTTATTTTAACCCTTCTTTACTTAATTTTTTTTCATTGATAGTAATTTTATACAGAGCGAAATATGAGGACAAAACGCGATTTTTGATAAACTTTGCGACTTGGTCGGCACGGGTTGTAATCAACCTAGAAAGATAAAATTTCATATTTAAGTATGTTTTAGCATTCATAAAAAATGTAGAGGGTATGCATTACAAATTTCTAAAAAAAATTTTTTTCGCCATATAAGGGACACCCTAATACTCACATGTATTTCAATAACATCGATATTGAAAAGCAGTAGGCAAGTACGTAACATAGCTCTTCCGCTAAAGTAATGTGTCGACATCTGAGGAAGTGCACTTTATTGGTGAAAAAGGTGAACTACGTATAATTCTCAAAAAGAAACTGCAGATTGTATGAGAAAAAAGATTTATAATCAAATCCATTGGTTTTTTCGTGATTTTAGCACACATTTTTAAAAAGTTATAAAAATCCCACTTTTATAAAGCGTTAATAACCAATAGCGGCTTTTGTCGCACCTTTCTTAATATTTCATACGTTGTATTTTGTCAGAAGGAAGAGAAAACTAAATTTAGATAATTCTTGATTTCATTTATAAATGCTTGTTTTAATATAGGTACCTATACAATTTGTGTAACTTCATTCCTTGTATGTTTAAAATATTCCATCTGAATCCACAATTAAACATTACGCCTTAAATTTAACTTTTAACACGTGCAATAAATTGTACTAAATGTCCAATACGAAGATTACTTGAAATCGGTGGCAAATTTACAAATAAATACGATGATGGTTTTTTCTTAATTTTTCCCTTTAAATTTGGATAACTAGAAGGAATAGTTTAAAAAAAGAAATATAATATCTGAAAACCAACAAGCAAGAGAATGGTCCAATGTGGAAAATTAAAACTTCTATGAAAATAAATAGACTGCTTTGTGTTGTTTGCTCATCATTAGCTGAGAAGAAATGCACCACAGACATGGTCCATATCTATCTAATTATATGTAATTGTATCACTTATCACACCGTTTTTGCTTTGCAGTCACAGAGTATAAAAATAGGATAGTAAAATTTAGAAGTGACCACTAAAATATTTAAATAAAAAGTGGGAAGATTGCGTAGGTATATTGTCGCGGGTGTTACCGTTTAATCAGAATATTTAATTAAAAATCACCAATTTTGTGGAAGTGAACAATTATGGTGTAACGACGTATTATAAATTACCGTAACATTTTTAATGTCACCAAAATTAAAGTGTAAGTTCAATGCCCCATTGACACAATATCCATCATCTAAATTAAGACGGGCTCAACTAGTTATCCATATTTACTAATTTCTAAAATTATAAAAATTTACAGTTATATAGTGAAATTATATATGTATTTTTTAAGTAATTAAAAGAATTATATTTGAAAGGAAGCCTTTGGATCACCATTTATTCGATAGGCGCTTATGTATCTTTTAACTAGGCTTTTTGTCTTTTAATGGTACATTTCTGCTTTTAGATCTTTAACTATTGAAATTAAAATTCTTAGATTTTTAAATTATTAAATTTACCTATTGCTTATGCCCATCACCTCACGGTTGAGCTACTTTCTTAATTTGGGGGTCATGACTCCATGGATTACTCTTGTAGATAAATGCCAGTTCAGCTTCTATTACTATTATGATCATAATTTACTTAAACTTTACAATTGATTTGTAAAGACTTGTTTATAGTTTTAAAATACTTTTTTTTTGTAATAGGCTCACATGATTGTTCAATTCGTCTGTGGCATTTAGATAACAAAACATGTGTACAAGAAATAACAGCTCATAGAAAAAAGTTTGATGAAAGTATTCTTGATGTGGCGTTTCATCCGGGCCGACCGTTTATTGCAAGTGCTGGTGCAGATGGTTTGGCGAAAGTTTTCGTATAAGTTCTTTGTGGATCTGTGAAATTGTAAATTAAGTAATAATAGAATTAGAAAAACATAAGTGAGCCTCAAAACGTATACATAAAAGTTGTAAATAAGTACGTAGACTGGTGTATATCTATTTTATTTATTTTATGGAAGTTAATGTATATAATTAAGTCTTTGTTATATTCCAATCAAAATCTGTTATTTTGCATTACATTTATCATGGATGTACACTTTTCATTCGAATTGATGTTTTCCTTTAGCATTTTAAACTATCTCTATGGTTATATTACTAACATACTGTCGTTACATACTCTAATTTCACGATTGATTAGTTTTCATTAAATTTTATCTTAATAAAATTTAAAAACCAGTATGTCATTTTTACATTTCTATAGTTTATAAATTGGATTTCATAGCTTAATGGAAAGAGTCTCAAGAAGATTACAATGTATGTTAAGTACTTTTTGTATTTAAAAAGTGAAATATGTATGTATATATTTCTAGTTTACTATTTGAATCTGTAACTTTATATCTAATATATGCT